TACCAAAAACCTTAGATACTGTTCATTGGTTGCTTTTGGTTGTGCACCTTTTTTACCAACCAAGTTTGTCAACGCCATTATAACGGCACAGATCACTCTTCAATGCAGAATTCTGTGTAAAAAGTGATTGACTGGTGGTAATTTGTGTGTATTTTATCTTTATTTCTTTATGATTTGATTATGGGTAAAACAAAGACCATGCAGGTCAGGTAGTTTAAACAATAGACTACAAATTATTAATTTGTTATGAACTGATTAATAATTCATAAATAATTCACGCCGCCTAGAACGACGATAGCATCGTCCATCGCAATGTTTCACATTAGACATCTTAAGATGCCAAATTGGTTGACATCGCCCAATTCTACCTCTCAAGTTCACTGACGTATGTGGCAAGCCACTGGGCAAACTGGGGGTCAGCTGGTACCGTGAAAAGAACAGAGGCCGTTGGCGGCATCATACCGCCCTGTAGCGTTTGTTTTAAAGACGAAATGCAGCCATACGTGCCTCTGGCTACATAAGTCGAGCTTTTTAGAAATGTATACATGTCTATGTCTTTGCAATGAGCCTGTGTTGTTTAATTATGTATAAGATGTACATATTGTGTATATACAGTCAAAGTCTGAATTATAAGCCCCCCTGATTTATTTTTCTTTAATTTCTGTTTAACAGAGGTTTTTTCGAACACATTTCTAAACTTAATAGTTTTAATAACTCATTTCTAATAATATCTCCTTTTATCTTTGCCATGATGACAGTAAATAATATTTGACTAGATATTTTTCAAGACCCTTCTACACAAGTGACATTTAAAGGCTTAACTAGGTTAATTAGCTTAACTAGGAAGGTTAGGGTAATCAGGCAAGTTATTGTGTAATGATGGTTTGTTCTGTAGACTATCTAAATAAAATATAGCTTAAAGGGACTAATAATTTTGACCTTAAGAAGGTTTATGAAAAAAGAATTAAAAACTGCTTTTATTCTAGCTGAAATAAATATTTTCAGACATACAGGTACTGTGAAAATTTCCTTGGTCTGTTAAACATCATTTAGGAAATATTTAAAAAAGAAAAACAATGTGTATTTAATTTAAGCAGTGAGTTTACATTTACATCAGCACTGAAATTGATATTTGTACAAACTTCATTTATTAAAATGTTTATTGGAACAATCTCCTGTTCTGAAATTTAAATTGCCACACAAAGCCACAATTTAGTGTCATTATATTATAGAACAGAATGTTATTGTCTTTGTTTTGAGTCAGGCGGCACAATGGCTCAGTGATCTGTAGTGTGTTTAATTTTATCATCAGACTTTATTACAGTATTTAAAGACTTCAATTTCTTCACCGAACTCTGATTAAATGTTTTTTTTATTTTTATTTTTTTAGCATTACTGAAGAAAACTAAAATCCTCAGTGATTCCAGAGATAAAAAATGAAATGGTCTTCCCCCAATAATAACCTACTTTAAAAAATGCATATCCATACAAAATACTCATTAAAAAAATATATGCATTTTGATTTATGATGTGCATTCATTGTCTCTGTATTGTCAAAAATGGTCTGTTTGCTCCTGCTGGTGGATTTAGTAACTGCACTTCCTTCTTTGAATGTTTTTTATTATTATTTTTTTTATGTATTTAAACCACATATACCTTTTTTCCCAGTGTAAGGTACAGTAAAATATAGCAGTAACACTTTAATGAAAGTGGGTGTTCATAAGACTGTCATTAAACCTTTATAATCAGGATGTGACACATGAATGAATGAGAATGAGATTTTGTGCGACCTATAACAACTGTCAATAAATGCAATTCGCTCAGCTATGATATATTAAATGTAAAGACGGCTTTGTTTTTTTTATGACAACTTGACAAACAAAACCTCACAATCTGTTTTTGTCTTTATCATAACAACTAGATTTTACTTAATGTCTATTATTGGTTTTGTAAGTGTTATGTTCAAGAGTGACGCAGTGGCGCAGTAGGTAGTGCTGTCCCCTCACAGCAAGAAGGTCGCTGGTTCGAGCTTCGGCTGGGTCAGTTGGCGTTTCTGTGTGGAGTTTGCATGTTCTCCCTGCGTTTGAGTGGGTTTCCTTCGGGTGCTCTGGTTTCCTCCACAGTCCAAAGGCATGCGGTACAGGTGAATAGGGTAGGCTAAATTGTCCGTAGTGTATAAGTGTGAACGAGTGTGTGTGGATATTTTCCAGAGATGGGTTGCGGCTGGAAGGGAATCGGCTGCGTATAAACGTGCTGGATACACAGTTCATTCTGCTGTGGCGACTTTGGATTAATAAAGGGACTAAGCCGAAAAGAAAATAAACGAACGAATGAATGAATGAATGCGTGTTATACTTATTTTATGAGCCTAGATATATGTCTGTCAACGTGGGATATAAAATTATCAGTTTTTTTTAACTATTATATTATAAAAATAAGTAAATAATTAAATGTAAAAAGAAAAGTTGAAAAGAAACAATATTTTTGACATTTATATCCATAATTTTTTCCCTACATTTAATTTCTTTTATTTATTTCTAGATTTATTTATGTCCACTGATTCATCTATAGATTTATTTATTTATTTATTTCTACATTTAAAGGTTTTTCTACACCATAAGGTTTCACTCTCATATCTTAACAAATAGGATCAAATATATATATATATATATATATATATATATATATATATATATATATATATATATATATATATATATATATATATATATATATATATATATATATATATATATATATATATATATATATATA